CAGTGAAGAGACGCGTTGAAATGTCTCAACACGGGCCCCGTTGTTTCAAGACAAATGTTAATGCAGATGTCTCACCTGCTCCTTCTCCTGAAGCTCAGTCTCCAGCTCCTGCACTCGCGCACTCAGTTGGGCGTTTTGCTGCTTCTCCTGATCTGCTTCTTTACACTGAGCTTCTAATTCTGCAATCTGCACATAAAGCAGGAAAAGGAGGAGAAGTGATTTATGAGACATGTCAAGTTTTTATTGTGAAAAGTAGTCAACAGATTTTTAGTTCGTTTGCATGTTAATGTGCTGTATAGTTTAAGTGGTGTCATCCTGAAAACTGACACTAGCAATTAGAAATAAACTTGTAGCATGTTCCAAAATGTATTATTGCAACACCAGCCCAGCTGCAGCAACAACCCACATTGATTATGAAACTAAAATGATTCTATTTATAGTGGACTCTGGTGCAGGGAACACAGAAGATAATAAAATGTACAGTACTCAGAGTGGAGAAACTGGAGGAACCCTCTACAGATTTTAAGTAATAGACTAACCCAACTAGGAATCTATTCATTCTGGGAGAGTTTGTGGTGCAGTTTTGTTCCTTTTATAGAAAAGACAGCGGCGTTTCTAACCATTCACCTTTTCTGCCAGCAGGTTTGACGGATTTGTGTACATTGCTCAACTTCCCTGTAGGAGTGAGTGACTGTATTACCTTTTCCCTGAGCGTGTCACTCTCTTCCTTGCAGGCACTAAGTTGTTTCTTCCAGCTCTCTACATTAGCTGAGGACTCCTGCAGTGCGTCCACCAGCCTGGCATTATTTTCTCTTAAAGTCTGCAGCTCTGTTTCCCACTTCTTGGCGTTGGTGTTGCTGCCAGACAGGAGAGACGGAGAGAGAGAGTGAGAGAGAGAAAGAGAGTGAGAGAGAGAGATCCAAGAGGGGAGTTATTAATGGAAGGAAAATTTAGACAGGTTAGTGTTCAAATTTCTGGGGCTTGTGCTCACTGACATGACACAATGCTTCAAAATCCTTCCAGTCGTAACTATTTAATTAACCGCGATGTACATCACACTGTCAAGAGATATTTAGACCATAAAATAAGAAATGAATGGGGGGAAAAGTCTCAAATGTCTAATGAGCTGTAGCCTTGTTACACACCACATACAGTTTGTTATCTTTTAATACCACAGAGTGTGTGATATGTCTTATCAATAAGGTTGGAAAGGTTGTGATGTATATTTAGTATGCATCGCTGTTCCCTTCCTTATGCATGGCTGGGTTGAAGTGTGCTGCTCTCCATCAAATGTGGACCGACTTGCACCGCAGCATTCTGCAGTCCTCGGCTGTTTCACTGCTGTGACACACTTCCACAACACAAAATCACAAAGCCTTGTGAAGGCTTGGAAAAGGGCCGACAAAAACAATTTGGTACTGATTATAAGGCGGAGATGGTTTCTGGAGTTTAGTTAGTAGTCCAGACACAACATATCAGAAATCAACCAACCAAGTAAATATTCACTAATAGTCATTTATTATTGGAACATTTAGTCTCCATATTTGGTGAAACTTCCCTGTAGGCACATTTTGCATGCTGTGTACTGACTAAAACACTGTTTCAGTTACACATATACAGTTTTCCATATACAGTGCCAGTCAGTCCAGTTTGGACACGCTATCTTATTCAAATGGATGGGAAAGTGTGTCCAGTCAAAGAATGAGGACCAAATGATATTATCCTGTCCAGGTACCTTCTTAAGAATGTCCAATTATACATCTGTTCCTTCCTAGGGAAATTACTGAACCTGTAAAATTAAGTGTTACTCACGTCATTATTCTTAAGTACTGCCAGGGAAGGTCTGCTAATTAGTCTTTTTTTTTTACCTCACGGCCTTTTATCCCATCTGGATGAAATATGTGAATGATGTTTTTGTTGCTACTCAGGACTAATTCTGGCTAAATGTACTCACTGTAGTTTTTAGTTAACTCTGATGACCTGGGGTCATTTTGATCCCATCTGGAACCGCATCTGGTGTTTCATGCAATTACAGATTTATACACTCAGCATCTGGATTATAAAGGCCAGATAACCAAATGGTAGAGTAGTGCAGCGTCGTTAGATTAGATCAAATAATTTCTGAGCCCTTTGGGGACATGATATCATCAGCAATAAAATAAAGAGAACATTTTGGTGCAGAGACAATTAGAACACAAGAACAAAAAGTGTGTGAAAACGATCAGGCTGTGTTTGGAGTTAATATTGTACGATGCCCCTTGAAGTAAGTTTTGCTGTATTGTGAGACCATTTGGATGACTAAGTAAAAATAAAAGCTATGCATTGGTAACATCAAATTGTCCACATGCTTTTAAACCCATGTGTTGAATAGGTACCTGTAGATGGCCTTTTTAAAATATTTAATGATTGTGATTGCCGCAGGATGAAAGGTGGTAAATAAGCAGGTTTTATGTGTAATATATTTGATTGTGACCCAGCATTGTGACAGGATAAGTGTCACACCACGAGTGCTTATTATCACAGTGCTGCATTGGTACATGACTCATAATACAGTATCCACTCTGCTTAGTTTCAAATTACCATATTCCTAACACCTGTGAACCTTTCATGTCGCATTAAAGGAGTTCTTCTAGGGTTTCTGTGAACTTTACCTCTGCTCCACTGCACTCTTGAGACGTTCGTTCTCGCTCTTCAACACAGCAGCCTCTGGACCGACATGAGAGATTTTCTCATCATCTGTCCCATTAATGCTGGACGCCTGGTTGGTTGAGGGCGTCTCACGTCCAGACTCCTGGTAGGGGACAGGAGAGAGAGACTGTTTATGGTTTGGGGCAGGTTTTGATTTGATCAAAGCTTACCTGCAGCTTTATAAAAGTCTGATGGGTTAAAATCTGTAAATGTGTCTCATAAATCCTGCTCTAACTGTGAAAAAAGGGCCCTGGGCTTCTCTGGGTGAAACATTGTAAACACGTCATCTATGACAGCGGAGGGGTGAGGAAAAACCGTTGCCAGTATTCATCATGTCATATGGCCCACCAGCTTTGTGTGTCTCAGTGCTGAGTTTGATTCCTGCCATCTGGAGTCAGTGCAGGCAGAGAGCAAGCCTGGCAGACGTTGACCGGGCGGTGACTGAGCGGTGACTGCTGAATCTACCTCGGATCAATGCTGTTTACTCACACAATTACTAAATTGAAATCATTGTTGTAGGAACTGAGAAACTTTTATTGTTTTATTACTCTCACTGGTTTCCTTATCTACTTAATTGCTGTTGTGTCATCCAGGTAGTAAGCTAAGGATGACTTTTGACCCCTCACATGATTTTTACATGAATGATTTTTGTCGTGTTGACATGTATTCAACAAGCTTCACAGACCTGAGTTCATATAAATATTTGAATACTTTGGTATGCCATAAGCTATTTCTGTACCCTTTGGTGTTTGAAGGAAAGTTTCATTTCTTATTTTCTCTGCAGTGTTGCTCTATAGAGGCCGACAGTGACTATAGAGGAGACAGTTAGACAGCATAGATGTTGTACTGAATCAGAATTTCTGACAGCAGAAAGATATAATTTACCTGGGAGTGATTACTCAACGTCTCCACCTTCTCTTGAGATTTGTCCCTTGCTAGCTTGGCTGCTTCTTTTACCTCCTGGAACTTCTCAGCAAACTGAAAATGAGAGAGATGTTGAAAGAGCTCTGATGATTAGTGGCAAGCTGACATGTCATATGCAGTGTGGCTCATGTTTTGGGAGATCAAGGGGCCAATTATAGTTGATAGTGAGGATTTAAGAATAAAATATACCCTGAAATCCTTTCTGATTACTTCAATCAATAAATGATGCACTGTCACACAAGTTTTTGGACAAATACATGAATCAATCATCTCTGAGCTATACAGATTCTTTGGTGACTTCATGTGATGCTGCAGAGATGTTGCCTCTCACCTTAGCCAGCTGCTGCTCCGAAGAGAAGCCCAGTCCAAACACCGTGTTGGCCCTGCTGTCCGCCCACTGGCCAAACTTCTGCGATGTCTTGGTGAACGTCATGTTGGGTGTGATGGTGCTGTTGATGATCACCTGTTACGACAAAACAACTTAGCATTAGATTCCTCGCCCTATTGGAGATCATGCTGTTAATCAATAGAGATGTATAAACTTCCAGCACAGTTCTCATGTTCATTTGACTGCCACACTCCCTCAGAAAGATGCATGCTGCTGGGTTTTTGTTCATTCTTGTTCAGCCAAGACACATTAAAGGAGCTCCAGCTGCATTCACATGATGAATGGTCCTATTGATTTAGCAAAGGACAATCCCCTCTTATAGCTCCATTCATACCAGAGTAAATCTGTAATACCCTGCCCATGTCTTTCACCATGTCCACAATGACAAGTTTGATTACAATTTACATTATTTTTTTCTTTGGATGATCCACTTTATTAAAACAGTCTACGACACAAAGTGATCTTTGGTAAATATTCAAAGAGTAATTCTCTTCTGTATCCTTTATATAGAGGGAAACACATTTTGTACATTAAATGCAAGAAATTAAGTAAAAAATCTTAATGCAGCACACACAGCAGCGAAAATAAAGTTTAAGTTTCATTGGTCACCATACATTACACCTCACTCAATTTATTATGGTCGAGCAACCAAATGTCGACCCCAGGGGGTTGGTGGTCGAGGGGGTTGTTAAAAGTATAGTGTATGAAAAACATTTGAATTATTTGTACCGGTCATTTTGTTCCACATTTGCTGCATTTGTTCTCAAAATAAATAGATATGTAATAATATGTAATAATAATGATCAAAACACTGACACACACACAAACACACAAACACACACTTTGCAGTGGTGACTACTGACCCACTGACCTCTAAGTGGTCAAATTACAATCTCCATATTTGCCACAGTACACGTTCACCTGTTGTAGCTATGCAGTAAATCAGCTGCCAGAAAACCTCTGCTGCAGTCTAAAATTGTAAGTAGTGCACGAGGCAGTGACAGTAGAAACCAACAGATGCTTAAAACTCTATTTCAGTCTAGACTGCACTGTGTGTTTACTGCATCACTGTGGATACAGACTGATTAATGCTATATGAACAGCTAGATGTGCATGTAAACACACTTTAATGTACACAAACCCAATCTCACTACCAAGACATAAGAGAACTTAAAAACAGCGCACGCAAATTACCCCAACAATTAAGAAACAATAGCAGACAGTTTAATCATAGTGCAGTCCTTGTTTCATAGCAACATGGCTCTGAACACAGGATTTGAGAATTCAAATTGCTGACAGACTCGTGTCCCTTTCTACGCCCCCACCGTCTCCCTCTCCGTCTTTTTAGTGGCTGTGGTGTTAAAACACTTTACACTGCATCATTACTGGACACAGAGACACAAAAAGCAGAGGCTGGGCTAACAGAATGAGCACATTAGCTCGCAATCAATACCCTCTTAGACATTGGCGTCCCATTCAGAACAATGCTAATGGTTCCTAAAGAGAGAGATCATTACACAAACACAAAAAAAGACCTTTATCAGTGTCATACGTTGAAAAGATTAGAGTTGCAACCTCTGATTCGGGCTGCATTCCCACATCAAGGGTTTATAAGAAGAGTGGCAATTTACCAAGGTGCCTGTGATCTGATTTGGAAATGATTACTCTCTTTCAGATGCTTCATCAAAACAAATGTTACCTAATTTCCTCGGAAGAGGAACCGGGGCGAAGCCTAAACAAGACTCAGACGTCTCATCTCAAGCAGCTGAGTGAATATTTAACAGAGCTCACCGCGTTGGCTCAAAGAGAAGTGTTAAGATAAGATGAAACTTTAATGATCATTGTGGAGGAACTGGGCCGTTGCTGCCACATAAAGCAAAAACAAAAAGGAAAGAATTAGGTAAACAGATGGTACAGCTAGAACATGACATGTCAAGAAGAAATATATGAATAAACATACACCGTTTCCTAACAGATATCATCTGCAAATGTATCAATTATCATGTTATCAGCCAATTAGAATCCAAATTTCTTCCCAACTTCATCTAATTTGTTTACCTTTTTTACAGATCATGTTCAGAACTTCTGCTTGAAATTATACCTCCTTTAAACCGACTCGTAAAATTCAAGTTAACATTGAGCTGAGGTAGTTAACTTGTACCTTGTTTGGCTGATATGCCTGAGGTGGTAGATCAGAAAACTAATGCAACAGACTCTAAAATGGCATATATAAAATGTGGCTGTAAAAAATGAATGAAATTTGCCCTATGGATGGGTGCATCATCATTCTGGAAGAGACAACTCCCGTTAGTGTAGAAATGTCTCATCATAGGATAAAGGCGATCATTCAGAACAAATTTGTATTTATTTGTGAACCCAAACCATGCCAGCAAAATGCTCCCCACAGCACAACAGCGCCACCAGATCCCCTCACATGATGTGGAATCTCAACCAATGATCTGTAAGTTAACATACAGAACTACCTGGTTGCCCCCCATCTTCGCGGGCTCTGTGACTGAATACTGTCATGTATGAGTGTACATCTTAGTAAGCAAGTGAGAGTGGGAGGGTGTGACAGAGGGAGGGAGAGCGAGCGGAGTGACGCTGGCAGCTGTGCCGGTGGTGAGCCGGGCTGCGTATCAAGTGGCACAGGAGGCGCAGAGTGAAGCTCAGCTGGCCAATGGCCTGAGGGTCAGTTAGAAACTCAGAGACAGCCAGGAGGTTATAAGAAAAAATATTCCTCGGCCGATTATGTGTCTGCAGAGCGCGCAGAATCTGCAGAGTCAGTAAGTAAGACAGGAGATGTGGAACATGGGAGGGGGATATATGGAAGGGAAAGAGCTGTGATCACTTGTCAAGCACCAAATGCCAGAAGACTTAGTCATAGTTGAGTGATAGCTTTTTTAGATAAAAGTGTAAATGTCTTTGTTATCTTGAGAGCCAAAACCCTTGGCTAACTTGTGAGTCCATTCCACATATTATAAAGGCTTTTTATCTAAAAAGAAAACTCCTGAAAAATCATATTCTGAAACTTATGGTAAATGGGTCAATATTACTGTACTGTAACACCCGAGTGCCTCACTATTTTACTATTGCAGACCAGTGAGTTCACGCTGAAAACAGCACAAACTCAAGTTATTGAAGGCTTTATATCAAAATAATGGTGATAAATGGGAAGTGAAGATAGTCTTGATGATGAACAGGAGGAACTGGCAGCCGTGTTTGGACTGAAATACAGCCAAAGAAAGACGAGATGATGGTCGCTGTGTCCTCTCATCAAAGCAGACAGCAAAATGGAAAACTGGGATTGCTCATCAAGCAGAGGTGTGATGTGGAGAAATGTTATATATTTTTTGCCTGTCTGCCAGACGCTTTAATGGACTGATGCATGTTATCTCACCATATATTAAGAACTGCAAAAACACACTGTTCCTTGGTGGCAGTGACAGGCAGGTTTGTTTTTTTCTATATTTCCGCATAAACCTATGGCTTTAACTTTTAACTTTCCATAATCTAAGTGGCAGCCTAATATTAAAAGGTAGAAATTGTAAAAATGTGTATATTTTTGTATTATTAAAAGCTCTTACATAATATTCAGTTTAGATTTAATACTACAGAACTAACATGCTTCTTCAAGGTGGACATAAGTAAACATGCACGGGTAATGTGAATATGAACTAGAACTCGAAAACAAATGGGCAATTTCTCTTACAATAAACAGTTGTTACAGAATACATGATTTATAAATTATGATTCTGCCTCATGTTTTGACAAGTCGGCTGATGCACAGTAGCCTTTTTAATGGTTAATAAATACACATCATGCTTTAGATTTCAGTTTATTTTTTTGTTGTCCTAGTTTGTTTTTCTGACAAAGTAGTCAGTAATATGCAATACTGAACCTCCTGATGCTGGAAATGCAAACTAACTCAGAACAGATTTGGTGTGAGTACACCATAATCCTAATGGATGATTGCTTGGGGACCTGTTGGGCTGAGTATAAAGTTAAGTACCCGGTCTAGCTTGATTTAAGTGATTCACCCAAACTCCAATTTAAAAGTGTGGTAGGAAAACACTGGATTCTGCAGTGTGAGGAGGACATGTCCCCATCATCACCAGTGGAACTAATGCTTTTTCTTGGTGGAAATTAAACTTTATGACACACAGGTAGAGAAACTACATGGTGTACTTGTAGGGGGCGAGTTTATGACAACAAAGGGAACTTGGCTCTAGGTTGTAATATTGGCCTATAATACATTACACTAGTTAAAAACTGAACATCTGGCAAACCTACCAGCCAGAAACACATTTAACAAGCTCACTTAGAAATATCTGAATTTTTATTCTTGGCAAAAAACATCTTTTAGCTTACCAGTCCTCAGCCAATATGTTTTAGACACTGGTTGGAAGAGACATGGTAAGAAATACAGAAAAAATAGGTAGTTAAAAGGAGACAGTAGGATGTAAGAGAGAAAAATATGGGGCAAAAAAAGCATAGAAAATATTCAAAACAAGAGAAGCAGGAACTTTTTTTTTTTTTACATGTTAGCTCAGAAAGTTATCACACTTGGAATAATTCATAAAGTACAGCAAGAAAACTCCTCACTGTGTTGTCATAGCGCTTGGTACATGGCGGTATGAGAAGCCGAGATTCAGGGTGAGCGAGAGTCAAAAGTGCTGATATGCTCCTCTACTTGCCATATCATCATCATCATCATCATCATCATCATCAGCGAGTTGCCTGGCCATCGCGGATGGACAAATATAAACTGACGGTCTGTCATAGTTAGTGTGTACAGCAGCACAGACTATTCTTCTGGACAGACCTGTCTCCCTCGCAGCTAGTGTACAAACTAGAAACTATATTTAACATTTATTTGATATGACTCAACATTTCCTTGCTTACGGTTACTTTGCTCATACCGACATCACTTTGTCTTACTTGGATTAACTGGAAAAAAAAAAAGGGCTAAAATTGAAATCAGCAGGAGTCAAATTGAGATAACATTTTATTTCCTAAATTTAAATCCTCATAGCTCGCATAGCTGCTGCCTGGAGACATTTTATGACACATACTGCTCCGTTACTCAAGGTTTCAGGAGAGTGGAGAGACAGGAGGACATGGAGGATGACACGAGTGGGAGAGCAGACAGAGGACTCCTGGCCTTGAGGATACCGAGGACATAGAAAAACACAGATGCATCTAGCCAGAAATAAAGTAGATTTCTAATCTATTTCTCAAAAAGAAAAAATGTTTTATAAGGGACCTGAAAGAGAAAACAATGTATGGTATGTATGGTCAGTGCTGCTTGATGACATAACAAGTTAGAGTCTTGCCTCTCTTGTTTCTAGCTGAGGGAAGACAGATATTGTGAAGCTGATAGAGCTCGACTCAACAACGCTATGGTGGAATAGAGAAATAATGGATTTAAAATTTTGCTAAAGATGACTTTTGGATAGTCAGAGGGACAAACTTGTTCAAACCTACCAGGTAAATATCCACACACACACACACACACACACACACTTCATATGCATTATGTGTGTCACTGTTAAGCAGATTCGGCCTCCTTAGCAATAGACCAAAATGCTTGCTATGCAAATATTCTACATTCAGATATATCTATCGAGACGCACCCTTCAGCTGTTGGGTTGGTAATGTGAACACAGAGCTCATAAGCCCTCTTCCCAAACATAGAAGTAAAAGGAGCAACTCGGAGGACATAAACAGATCCAAACAACTGTCAACCCGTTCAGTCCCTGAAGCGTCTCCGCAGGTAATCTGTGTGATTTAAGATTGTGCAAAAGGTGATTGCCTGGCAGTGTCAGCAGAGGGATGCCGCTGTCATAACCCTCCTCCAGTTTTCACACAGAGCGAAGACTGATCGCCATGGAAACACATAATCTACTCTTTCAGTCAGCAGAGGAAGAATCAGAATCAGAATCAGAATCAGAAATACTTTAATAATCCCCGCGGGGGAAATTACTTGGGGAAGGTGTGAATATACAACAGGCGTGCTCGTGTGGCGTCTAAAATCAGGATTTAATCTCCACATCACGCATCTTGTGATGACAAATCAAAATCAGTCCGTCGGTTTCACTTTAAGGCCAGTGAAAATATTCACATGTCCTGTAACAAACCAGCTCCTTCTTGTTCTTCAACACTAATGAGTAAAACAAAATTCAGAAAAACATCAAATCAGGTCAAAAATCAGTGCAGAGGGATTTGACTGAAAGGAAAAACATCTGATCCAGTGGGACCAGTATTTAAAAGCTCTCTAGTCCTCGAAGTATGACTACTGGTGGCTGTTTGTTGATGACAGTAAATTACAGATAATTGAGTTTAATTGCAACTCACCAGTTACGCTGCTCTTGACTGCTCTTGTTAATTTGTTAAAAAGGGGTGTTTGCTGATGTTCAGAGTTTGATTTAAACCTTCATGTTACCTTTCTGCCCTGTGCTGAACTATTAACACATATTTGTAAGCCTTTCATAAATTCATATCTTAATAGAGGCCGATTTAGCTAGGCAGCAGGTTAAATCACATATAAAGTGATGCTATGTGAGCCTAGACATAAATATGTGTAGTTTATTGACTATAAATATGATATTAAGGCTCCAAAGTTTGAACGTCAGCAGAAAGAGTCGGTTGCCCTGCAAGTCCCCATGCATCTTAGGGTCTACTCTCCTCAGTGTGAGCCTCACCAAGACCCAGGTCCCTCCCGACGAGACTCGTCTTCACAAAGAAACAGCTGCATCGCCGTCTAACAGTGGAATGAGAGCGTAGTACACTCCACACACAGACACACACCACTGTCCCCCCCTCCAAAAGTTATTCCCCACTGTTTGTCACCGTGCCTCCTTTCCATTCGTCAATATGAGCACCATCAAACATAATGAGCCTGAAGCTCTGTGTGGAGCAGGGACGTGTTCATACATGGGTTTTGTATTGTAAGCCAGTGTAGGCGTAAGGAGTTATTGGAAATTTATTACAACTTGCAGGATATTCCGCAACTGAATCAGGCTTTCACCAAAACAGCCTGAAAACAGCCAAGAGGAGGTGCATAAGTCTAGTTTTCTCCCAGACCACTTTAACTGCAATATGTTCAAAGGTTATTATGGATTTTTTGCCCTGTGACGCCCAAAATAAAACCCCAGCTTTAAGTATTATGTATTTAAAAACAAAATTAATTGTTGTTTTACACATATAAAGATTTTGGTCTCATGTAAATATACATACATACATACATATGCCATATCCTGATATATTGTAGATATAAAATATCCTTATTAACATCACGATATTTATTTTAAAATCATATTGCCCATCCTTTAATCCATAGATGACTTTCCTCTCATCAGAAGCACGAGAGCACAAAAATATCAAATGCTCGAATGTTAGGTCGATGGGCGCTGTGTAACGTTAATATTCTTCATAATTCATTTTGTTCAATTCTGGCTTTAAGTGCTCTTCCTCAGCCTCAACCGTCTCCTGAGAGCAGTTAAATGTTTCCCATCATCTCTTTCTAATATGGTTACACACAGACAGACACAATACACAGACACACACAGACACAGACACACACCTTGGATCCATCCACGCTGATGATGCGGTAGCTGTTGCGTGTGCTGTCGTAAAAATAGGAGACGGTGACAGCCTGCTTGCTGGCAGGAACCCAGTTCTTCTTGGTGGTTGGGTCGATTTGGAAGACATGGGCCCTGGTGGTGTAGATCGGCTGCTCCCTAAAGAGCAGAGGACAGAAAGGAGGGGCAATGTGAGAGAAGGATGGCCGCAGACACACAAAATGTAACCACAGATCAAAACGATATCCACTGAGCAACAAGCTACGACTCACAACACAGTTGGTGTATCGACGCTGTGTGTGTCTCCAGAGGCGACGACTCCTTACGGACAGGCAGGCGATAATGTAACACAAACTCTAAATCCTTATAGCAACCCAAATCCATTAACACATCAATAAGCCCCCCCTCATAGGTGACAGTAACACATATCTAGGGGTTTGTGTGAAACTGTGCACTTGCATCTATTGTCTAATGGAAGATTTCCCCTGCGTACCAAATACATTCAGGGCAATTATCTACTCGTGGTAACAGTCGAACGAGAGAAGACTCACTGTCATCAGTTTTCAGTGAAGAAAAACTGAAAGTTGACATCACTCTTGTTGCTTTATGATCATTTTTCAAAGAAGAAAACAAACAAATATCTTGAAGTCAAGTCTGTCAGAATCAGCAGCGATATTACAGACAGTCAGTGTGAGTGAGTGAGTGAGGTGTGTGAGAAGGTGGTGGAGTGGTGAGGAGAGAGAAGGAGGACGGACCTGAGAGAGAGAGAGAGAGACGGATCAGAGAGACGAGAGAGACGAAGATGGAGAGAGAGAGGAGGAGAGATTGGAGAGAGAACCGACGGTGCGGGGGTCGGAGAGACGAGTCGTGCGCCAGAGAGAGAGAGAGAGAAATGCGGTCAGAGATCAAGTTTCCCGGCACATGTATATCTGGACATAACAGAACAGTTACATTTTTATTTATTGAACAACAGCTGAATACAATTAAACATCATTTGTAATATTTCACAGATAAAATATAATTTTGTATATACACACACAATATATAAATATATATATA